TTGGACCTATGTACAATGTATCCGACCCATTTCTGGGGTCCCTCGCCATGATGTGCCAGGAATATTGCTACATAATAGCAATGGAATGGAATTCTACTCATGAATCATTCACTTATGACGTGTTGACTGATTCCGTGGTCAAGTGGATAGAGTGGTTGGTCAGAGGTCATGACCTGTCCAGCCAAAGATGGTACTAGTTGTATGTTGTTAAACATTGGCATTATCGGATAAAACAACTGGTTGGGTCAGAGTTGCTGTACTGGGTCTGAGCGGGGTAGCCATATTCAACTATGGCATGGTATCTCATTGGGTTGACACATAATGAAAGTGTCATTAGTTGTTGCAACTCTGATAATCATGAATCATTACACCCCACCTCACACCACTACACCACACCACACCACACCACACCCACACCACACCACACCACACCACACCACACCACACTACAACCACCACACCACACCACACACACACCACACCACACCACACCACACCACACAACACCACACAACACAACACAACACCACACCACACACACCACCCACCTACACCACACCACACCATACCACACAACACCACACTACACCACACCACACACTACAAAACACCACACCACACTACAAAACACCACACCACACCACACCACAAAACACCACACCACACCACTAAACACCACACCACACAACTACACCACACACCACACCACAACACACCACACCACACCACACCACACCACACCACACCACACCACACTGAAAAACACCAAAAAACACCTCACCTTACCACTCGTGAAGATCCAGGTTAGAATTGGTCACCAGTAACCATGCTTGTCATAAGAGGCGACTAACGGGATCGGGTGGTCAGGCTAACTGACTTGGTTGACACGCGTCAGCGTATCCCCGTTGCATAGATCGATGCTCATGCTGCTGATCACTGGATTGTCTGGTGGAGACTCCATTATTTACAGACCGCCGCCATGTAGTTGGAATATTCCTGAGTATGGCATAAAACTACACTCACTCACTCACTCACTCACTCCGCCTCACTCACTCCGCCTCACCTCACCTCTACCTCTACCTCACCCTGTATAAGCCACAAAACAGTACCCAGTTCTGTATCTGTAAGCTAGGTATTGCAGGGACAGTGTAACCATCTGGATCGAAGAGCTGTCACTGTCTGGTGGAGTTCCAAATCTAAAAACACAGAATTATTCAAAAGCGTTGGCGTGTTTATTTTTGTCTCATTCATAAGACAGCACCACTGATAGTTTTCATGAGCAACAAATGCAAACATTCTCCTTTTGTTGATTATTTAAGGATCGAAACATTTACAGACTGTGCATGTCATTTGCTGTTTTCCCTAGGAAGTTTTTAAAACATTATTAAAAACATTTCAATTAGACGGCCTGTTTGAAGTCAACAATCCAGCACTGATTGATCTTGCAAAACCTAACCACCAGTCTAGCACTCTCTCCAAATATTTCAGCCTCTTTGTTTTCCTAGACAAACTGTTGTCTGCCAAATCTTCTTGTCGGACGAGTTAATATTTCTAAATGACTAAAATTTGAATGGCAAGTAGATTGTAAGCCTCATCCTTTGCTACAGAGCCCTCCTAGACAATGTCCAATGCCATGCATGCAACGATGGTTCTACAGAAAAAACCCATCGCGAACTAAAGTTGACCCTTGAAGGCCCCAAACATGTTGATTTTTATGAATTCTATACATACAAAACCTCAATTTGACACCAGGACATGCGGGAGTGTTATTGAAAAGTCTTCTATTTCCTTTTTGTCTGCCACTTTGTGTTCTGGATCCATTAAACTCAACTAAAACATGTAAGATGGAATTGGTATGTCTCTAGGGTAATTTTGGATTCACAGACACATCTTCAGGAACATGCAAGAGGAGCTTGTATGTCCGCAGTTTGTCACATAAAGTATCGTTGATTTATGGCATGTTAGTTTTTGTGCACTTTAGCTTTTCTCACTTGATTGAATGTCAAGGACATGTTCTTAGTCTAAAGACATTACCTCGTTCAACAATTTGCAAAGAGCTTTCAAAGACTTTGGAGGAATTGATTTCTCTGTATCTTTTCTTGCTGTTATTGCCCAATGAATTAAAACTTTTCAAATTCAAATGCTGTTGTTGCCAATGAATTAAAACTTTTCAAATTCAAATGCTGTCATTGCCAATGCATTAAAACTTTTCAAATTCAAATGCTGTTATTGACAGTGGATTAAAACTTTTCAAATTCAAATGCTGTTATTGACAGTGGATTAAAACTTTTCAATTTCAAATGCTGTTATTGCCAATGGATTAAAACTTTTCAATTTCAAATGCTGTTATTGACAGTGGATTAAAACTTTTCAAATTCAAATGCAATTCTTGCCAATGAATTAAAACTTTTCAAATTCAAATGCTGTCATTGCCAATGCATTAAAACTTTTCAAATTCAAATGCTGTTGTTGCCAATGGATTAAAACTTTTCAATTTCAAATGCTGTTATTGACAGTGGATTAAAACTTTTCAAATTCAAATGCTGTTCTTGCCAATGCATTAAAACTTTTCAAATTCAAATGCTGTTATTGACAATGCATTAAAACTTTTCAATTTCAAATGCTGTTATTCGTAATTCGTAAAATGATCTGACCAATGGTCAGACAGGGCGGTATTCAAGGGTGCTGTAAGAATACATCATGCATATTCTGAAAAACAATTCCTGAAATGGAAGAATTGGCAGCAACAATGTATTTCAACTATCTGTGCTCCACCGAAAATTCCTTTTGCGTAAAATACAAACAAATATCACCATAACCCAATTATTTTTCAGTTCCTTGTGTACCAATATGGATAAAATTAAAAATAGATAAACAACAGTACAACACGGAACTTCATTTCTCGATGACTTGAAATGCAGGCATTGCACACATGATATCTAGTGTGTCAATAATTGATAGTTTGTGCTACCTCTGTCCTAACTTTGACATATTCATCGCTGTAATGCAAGCTTGACATGCGATTCAAGTTACACTGCATTTTAGGCAAGCATTGATGACTGGGGATGGAAATTCTGTGAGGTAAGGTGAAATGGGGTTTAACGTCGCACTTTAGAATATTTTAGCTCATATGACGACGTGCATGTGTGTATGTGTAGTTGCTTGTACTAGCCCAGACTTCAGCTGGTTTTATAGTGCTAGCCCACTGAGATACCACGCTGCAGTTAAGCATGAATACCCAACTCAGACACATTATACTGACTCCGAGCCGACCAGTTCTTGTTGTACCCAGTAATGCCGAGCGCCAGGCAGGGAGCGACAAGTACCATATTTTAACGCCTTTTGGTATGACGCGGTCGGGATCGAACCCGCGAACCTTCTGCTCTCCGGCATTAATTCTCTAGCCATTACGCCACCTAAGGCGGTCTGTATGCGTGATAAACAAAATGACCGATATGAGCACCTTCAGACATTAAGAAAATTTATCCATCAACACTTACATGCATCCTATGCTAAAAATAGAGCTAAAATAAAGCTTAAGTCCAAACAATATTCTTTTATTGTCAAATTATCGCTGAAAAATAAGGAGTAAACGAGCATTGATGGCTGGGGATGGAAATTCAGTGCTATAAACCGCAAAAATCCATTAAATCAACGTACTGAAATAGTGCATTTGAAGTAATATTGGTAAGAGGAATCTATTTTAAACTTCTGAATAAATTCTACTCTAAAAGAGTTAATATGTTGAATACTCGAAGAATTATTGAAAAGCCCAATGCGAGTATTTGTAAAATATACTTAATAACTGAAAAAATCTGTATGACTAAGCTGTAACCAAACCTATCATTTTATAAGAAGTTTTCAAACATGAGTAGGAACCATTTAGAAATATTCTTCCTCCAAATGACTGACTTCAACCTGTTTATATATCTGACATTCAAATTGATTAATGCTGATAGAATATCCTGCGCCTTGAAATGCCAGCCACACTGCCATCCGTGACTTGGGGTGACCAAGGTTAGATAATAGTATGAAAAGGAGTTGATGGTTTTGTTCGTTGCTGCTGAAGCTAGTCCTCCCAATTGATAATGATGGGTTATTATTGATGTGTGGCCCATATGGTATGGCAAATGTCTTTAGATATTAAGGATGTGAAAGTCCTAAGTCTGTGGAATGGAATCTGAAGATTCCTGGCTTTTGATAAAGTTGAAATTTGAATGGATATTTTCTGTTTGAATTAGTGGCAAGTTTCATTAAAACTTGCTGTTGGATTATTGATCAACTGTAGCTCTTCATCCCTAATGGATTTCTGTAGTGTTGAATAATATCATTGAAGGCATTTTTTAGTTGCTGCAGTTAAAGTTAATTAACAGAAATTTGATTTAATGTAAATTATCTCTTAACCAGTACTGACAAAATGAGATTTAGTTCTTGTAAAATGGTAAATGCAGGAAGGTCCAATCATTCTTTCACTCACTCATTCAAACTTTTCCCAATTCTTTCTATGGGGCGGTTATGTAGCCAATGGTATTTTTATCCCAAAAACATGGACTGAGAATAATATTCCATAATTGCCAGAATACCCAGTCTGCCGTGAAGATCCAGGGTAGAATTGGTCTTCAGCAACCCATGCCTGTCGTAAGAGGTGATGAGATCAGGTGGTCAGGCTCGTTGACTCTGTTGACACATTTCATCGTATCCCAATTGCGTAGATCAATGCTCATGCTGTTGATCACTGGATTGTCTGGTCCAGACTCGATTATTTACAGACTGCCGCCATATGGCTGGAATATTGCTGAGTGCGGCGTAAAACAACAACCAACCAACCTACTGTTGCTGAAGTCAATCCCAGCGAAAGGATATGTCGTATATAGTAACATCGCCATGCACTTCTGAAAACACAGAGCTCTGAGATGAGAACATGGCATTCAGCATTAATGTTGCCTGTCTGTAGATAGACTTCAGGATACTTTCACTCACTAACTCCATTTTGCTTGCAGGTTCCTGGTTCTAATTATAGAAGTCAGAACAGTTTGGAGCTGCGGAACTGAAACGATTAGACAGTAAGTAAGTTGTTTTGTATTGTCTTCGTGACACATTCAGTTTAAACATAGATCCTGAGTTCATCCAAGCTGCCCAGTTGTCTGAAGTGCCATGAATTGCTGTGCAGAGTTATGTACCTTTGAAGAAACAGAATTCTATCATTGTGATTTCGTATTTTACTGATTTTGATTTTTGGCATGTCTGTGGCATCACAAATAGCTGTGCAGAGTTATGTACCTTGGACAAGCCAGAATCCTATTGTTATATTTAAGATTTTCCTAATTTAGATTTTGGTTTGTTGGCACCATACACATGACTGAAGGTTTCACGATAGTTGTAATCATGTCTGTAAGGTTTCCACGATAGTTGTGTAACGATCATGTCTGTAGGTTTTCACTCAATCATGTCTGTGTGGTTTCATATAGTTGTAATCATAGTTGTAATCATGTCTGTAGGTTTCACGATAGTTGTAATCATGTCTGTAGGCTTCAGGTTGTCATGTCTGTACATGTCTGATAGTTGTAATCATGTCTGTAGGTTTCCATAGTTGTTAATCATAGGTTTCACAAATGTAATCATCTGTATGTCATGTCTGTAGGTTTCAATGATAGTTGTAAGGTTTCATGTCTGTAGGTTTCATCGTTGTAATCATGTCTGTAGGTTTCACGATAGTTGTAATCATGTCTGTAGGTTTAGTTGTAATCATGTCTGTAGGTTTCACACCAGCTGTAATAGTTGTAATCATGTCTGTAGGTTTCACGATAGTTGTAATCATGTCATGACTGTAGGTTTCACGTTGTATAGTCTGTAGGTTTCACAATGTAATCATGTCTGTAGGTTTCCAATCATGTCTGTAGGTTTCACTTGTAATCATAGTTGTAATCATGTCTGTAGGTTTCACGATAGTTGTAATCATGTCTGTAGGTTTCATGGGTGTAATCATGTAGGTTTCTGTAGGTTTCACAATAGTAATCATGTATATGTTGTAATCATGTCTGTAGGTTTCCCAATAGTTTGTAATCATGTCTGTAATCATGTCTGTAGGTTTCACGATTTCACAATAGTTGTAATCATGTCTGTAGGTTTCAATGATAGTTGTAATCATGTCTGTAGGTTTCCACGATAGTTGTAATCATGTCAATCCAAAGACGTTGGTTTGATCCCCCCTCATATGTACAATGTGTGAAGGGTCTGTGGGGTAGCATAGTGGTTACAGCGCTTTCTGTAGCTTCTCACGCCACAGGCCTGGGTTTGATTCCCCAAATAGGTACACTGTGTGAAGCCAATGTCTGGTGTTTCCTGCTCTGATATTGCAGGAATATTGCTAAAAGTGGCATAAAACCTGATGATCACTCACTTTACTCAAGTGGGTTTGAGTTGGAAATGGACCAGGACAATGTACAATGTACAACGCTGATATTGCTGCCATACTACAACTAGCCAGATGAGACTTGAATAATGTCTCGCCTCCTGTTACTGCCATACTACAACTAGCCAGTCATGGCTGAGAGCCAAGGCGGATATTCACATCACTAAGCCCGTTACATGTACACTGTTTTGTGAAGAGATGTTGTTTGTTTGTTTACAGTATTTTGCTGAAAGATTATATCCTTTAACTACCCTCGTTCGTCATGCCAAGATAATTAACTTATTTTGAAACAGGATTCATGTAAAATTGGCTTCTCATGATTTCAAACCTGTCATCTTGAGATTCAGAGAATGTGCATCTCAGTGGCGTGTTGAACAGAATCTTAAGTGTATATTGCGGAAATTAGCTACTGCAGAGTGATTGGTCAGAGTTAAAACAGGAATCCAAGGTTTTGGTAAAATGTAAAGCAGCAGTGGTTTTGCATTTTCAGCCAAAATGTTAAAATGTTACTTACAAACCACCAAAATGTAATAAATAAAATAAAAAAGTTAAATTATTTTTAAAATGTGTCTTTACATTTTCAACATTTTCACCCAAAATGTAAATCAGTGTGTTGGGGCTACTTAAGAACCATGCATGCAAGTTTGTAAAAGAATTAGAGAAGAGTTTTGTTCAGTATTATGGCCATATGACCAAGAGTACAATTCAATAAACAAAATATAGCACATGGACAGCTGAAAAATGTACAGTTTATACAGGTAAATATAGTTTAAGACAAATTGCAGTATTTTTTAGAAGTTTCACATTCTGTATTGCAAGCAACTGATTAAACTTAGATCTGTATGGATATATGGCATAAACATTAGATACCTTATGAAACAATAAAGTAGTTACAGTTATTTGGTAACAACAGTGGATTAGAGAAATGCCTTGTGCAACATACTGACAACTTTAGTCCTCTGTATAAGATTGAACACCATGCCTTAGTGTGGAGCCCTGATATATTCTGCTCAAAAGAGGTTAAAGAATTTTTTCATAGGACCAAAGTTAATCTGTAAAGGCACATGGGTAACACAACAGTTTGGGTTCCTTAACTTATTTTGAGTAGCATAATACTAATACTAACTAATACTATATACTAATAACTGGTACTTATACTAACACTGATACCAATGCCAATTTTAATACTAATAATAACTACACTGTATATTTTCTTGTTTAGTTGACAGCCATGCAAATATGTGTGACTGCCACATATATCTTTGAATTATCCACATAAACATTTTGCTGGCTCAGATTTCATGGATGTAACAATACGTAAACTTTTTGAAAGATAGAGATATGACAGTTCAAGTGTTCCTATATCCTTTTCAAGATTTCATGACATGATTTGTATTGCACTGTGGGCTGAAATCTGGGAATAAATAAAAAACAACACATTTTTATGTGTAGTCTGTCTCACAGTCCCTGAAGCACATTATTTTTGAGGGGCGTGGGGTAGCCTAGTGGTTAAAGTGTTGGCTCGTCACTCAAGACCCGGTTCAAATCTCCACATGGGTACAATGTGTGAAGCCCATTTCTGGTATACCCCTAGATGTTGCTGGAATATTGCTAAAAGCGGCATAAAACCAAACTCAGTCAGTCACATTATTTTCCCTACTGCCATGCCCTTGAAAGCTAAAGTCTTAAATGAAGCAACTCTAGATTTCCTCAGGTTCTAAATCTCCGATCCCATTGGGGCTCTTTTCAACTTAAATGGAATTACTTTTTATCCAAATTATATATATTCAGAGTCTAAGCGTTAGTCTGTGTCAAGTGTTCCTTTGATCATTTCCATCAGTATATGATTAGTATTCTTCATTGATTTTCATCTTTTCGTGGATATATTCTTTAATGATACTCATTACCAATAATTCCATCACATTCAAGCAAGACATATAATACAACTGGCTTGGTTTGTCAATTGAACTAAGCCATCAGCAAAATGAAGGCCAAACTACAGCTCCCCCTATAGTGCAAGTCAAATCAGGGTGAGTGAACTCCGGCCTGGCGATCCTCTTCACCACAATATTCTGGCCACTCTAAGTCCACTCAATAGAATGTTAATCATCATAAAGTGAGCGCTTATCGCCAGTGTCTCGTAAACTACCTGCTAACTGGATTGTACTTGTGCCAAGTAATGGTGGATGTACCGGCTTGATCCAGCAGACGTCAAGTCCATTTGTGTGGCTGCTGCAGATGTCACAGTACTATTCCAGTGTTATCAATGAAACTAGACTTGATATATCAGTAGAACAAATGTTTGCTGGTATTTTTTAAGAATGCTGTTATTTCTTTTTATATTTTCGCAGTAGCCAGGCAACTTGCAATAACCACGGCTAAGTAAACAATTTGTTGAACTTCCTAACCCTGAACAACTTTGGGTTGTCCTATATCAATCCTTGAGGCTCACATGCCGTGATATAACTGAAATATTGTCACATGAGACCTGTTTAACCAAACTCACAAGAATGTTGTTCACTGTGGAGTAAAACAATATTCACTCTCTAACAAGTTTGAAGTTTGTAATAGTTAATGATTGATTGGTCTGATTCATTTGAAATTTTATTTCACAAAAAGTAAACAATTTTAATCGTTTGATAAATTAACAACTGAATACTATTCAACATATACAGAATAATTCTCAATGTTCTAAACTGCACATTCATTAATGAACACTGACAAAGGAATAATTTTTCGGATTGATGGCAAACTGGAGGCTATGAATCATATGGAAATTGATATTTTCTGTTCAAAAAGTGGTACCCTGAAATCACAAAAAATATTTTTTAACTATATAATTGAAAAGTGGTTCCTTCTGAAGCAAGGACTTTTACTTTTCTGTTCAAAAGCATACCTTGAATACCAAATATATTTTCTAACTATTTAACAGAAAAATTCGGTCCCGAAGCAAAATATTTCACTTTTCTGTTCAAAATCAGGTAATTGAAATAACAAAATTGTCTTTTAACCATAAAACAGAAAAAGTTCCTTCTGAAGCAAGATAGGTTATTTTTCTGTTCAAAAGCAGTACCTTAAAACAACAAATCTATTTTTTAACTATATAACAGAAAAAGTTCCTTCAGAAGCAAGTATCCTGTTACTGGCGACATGTTGTGGCGTGCCGACTGTTATGAAAGGCGGCTGTACAAGAAGCCCCCACTTCATGAGCCAAACACCAACAGGAAGTGAGGAGCATCGCAGCCTTGTGGTTGATGTAATCGGAATAAGGTCACATGTCAGAGGTCGCTACATTTTGTGAAATGTAAGCATCGAGGACAGTAGTGTAGGATAAAGATAAGCAACAGGGTTGCTACTACGTGATGGAAAATCAGAGATTCTAATGGTTGCGGGTCTGGTGAGAAGCCTGTATGGAGTATTCCAGGTTGGGATTTCGTAATGTACAGGTTAGTCCTACTGTATCTAGAAACCAAATATTGCGTTAAATCATTCTGCTTCTGTATTTCTTGATTGATCATATATACTGCTTAAACAAAGGAATACCTGATTCTTTCATATAATATTACTATCGCTTATCTATTCAGGGCTCCAGTTAATTTTTCAACATAAGAGTACATATTCCTTATTTTTTCAATATAGGAGTACAGGAAA